TTGAAATTGATGAACTAAGATAGATGAACTAAGTGTCATACGTTGTTTCCATCAACCAAATCGACATTGTGTGTATTAGTGAGACTTGGCTTTCCTCTAAGATCCCGATTCTGCAATATCTCTTCCAAATTTTAATGTTATTAGAAATGATCGCTCTTCGTCTTGTGGAGGTGGAGTATGCATTTTTATAAACAACAGTATATATTGTCAACGCCTAACTGCTTTTGAAGATCCTACAATTGAGTCCTTGTGGCTTCTCGTTAGACCAACATGGCTCCCCCGCTCGACTTCAGTTATACTATTGGCTGTAATCTACCACTCCACATCAGCTGGCCACACCGAAAATGTAAACCTTTATTCTCATATCCAAACCAATGTTGATACTTTCATGCAATCATGTCAGAAGAAGTTATATTGCTTCACTACAATTTTACAATCATTCATTAGTTACTTAGTATAATTCTAAATAGAGTGAAGCAGTCTATAATCAGAGCTGGAGGCCAAAGATACCGCATAATAATAAAAGGAATTAATGCAGCAAGATATTAAGAACCAAAAAGAAAAGAAAAGAAAAGAAAAGAAAGAAATGATATAAAAAACTACTTTCTGAATTTTTTTTTAAAAAGTTAGTACGAATCGACAGGATTAGCTTTCGTTTGAGCTGAGTGAATGTCAACCTTTTGTCAAAATCGCTGAGTGCATTCCATACCTTGACACCCCGATATCTAATGTTAAATAAACCAAAATTTGTCCTGGGTTTAGGTAATGATAAACAAAGTCCCGACGCAAGTCTTGTATTATATGAATGTAATTGATGCATAGGTGCGAAGTAATCGTTAAAATTTAAAGGCAGAAGGCAATTATGAAATTTATACATGAACATTGTCATTAATAATGTGATCAGATCACTTAACTTTATGAGTCGAATGCGCTTAAAGATTGGACTGGAATGTTCATCAAACGGAGAAAAAGTTATAATGCGAATGGCTTTTTGTGTAGCACAACTAGTGGTTTAAGTGTAGTTGGGTAAGTGTTTCCCCAGATTATTAAAGCATAGAGTAAAAAAGGGTATATAATGGCATAATACAACTTTACAAGGATATCAGTATTTACTAAGTAACGAACTTTAGAAAGAATACCAATACCTCTTCTAATTTTTTTTGCAATATGGCTGATCTGGTATTTCCAAGACAGGTGGGAATCAATAAAAACACCAAGATATTTAATATGATCAACCTTTTTAAGGTATCTACCAGAAATACTAAGATTTATGTCTATGTCAGGGTTTTTTTGGTAAGGATGAAAGGTAACAAAATTTGATTTTTCAATGTTTAGGGATAATTTATTTGCACATAACCAGACGTGGATGTTAACCAACTCTTTGTTAATTTTAGATTCTAGCACTGATATGTTCTTGTTTTCATAAAATAAATTGGAATCATAAGAGGAATCAAATAGGAATCAAATAGATCTGAGCATTCATGAAAATCGTTGATATATAAAATAAATAAGAGGGGGCGCAAAACAGTTCCTTGGGATATACCACAGTTTACTTTATGGAAATTAGACATTATATTATTCACAGACACATAATGTTGCCTATCAGTAAGATATGAAACAAACCAATCTTTTGCAACCCCCCTAATACCATATTTTTCTAGCTTATTTATTAAAATGCCATGATGGACAGTATCAAAGGCTTTGCTAAAATCTAAAAATATACCGCACGAGTAGCTTCGATTTTCAATAGCATTTTGGATTTTATCAGTAATAGTAAGAATCGCATGCTCTGTTGAGTGATGTGAATGAAAGCCAAATTGTTTGTCATAAAGTATACATTTCTTCTCAAGAAAATTGATCAGACGAGTATACATAAGTTTTTCTAGTAGTTTATTAAAAATAGAAAGAAGGAAATTGATCGATAGTTATTAAACTTCTGTAATCTCCCTTTTTGAAAATCTGGTATAATTCTAGCTATTTTGAAACTTTGAGGTACAATACCAGTTGCAAAGGAAGCATTAAATAAAATCTCTAATGGCTTCGAGAGAACATGTTGAAGAAGTTTTAATACTTTTGTAGAGAATATACAGACCGACGTTATAGAGACTGACGTTAGCAAATATAGGTGGCATGGACGAGCGTTGATCGATAGTTTTAAATCCGAACACTACAGGAAAGTTGTAAGACTGTTAATATTAATATATCTTCAGAAATAAATTATTACATTGGTGGCAGCGGCAAACAAAATATAAAGAATGTCTAGCGCTGAATTACTTCAAGAAATTGAGAGACTTACCAAGCGTGTTGAGGAACTGGAGAAGACAGAAAACAATGCGACGCCATCGTCGAGTTTAAACCTGCCCGTACCCTGGTTGCCAGAGGTTCTGTATCTTTCGCCTTATTCCCGCTCGTATATTTATTTTACGCGAGGCGAAGAGAACCTCTGGTGGCACGCGATACAAATCTCACTTCCATGCTGACGTTGCCGTTTGAGAACTTGCAAAACCGGTTTTATATTTTGTGACGTTTTTAAACTTCCGGGTTTGTCATACTACCAAAATAGCTCTCTTCAGACAGCCTTGTGTAAAACTCGGTGTAAAATACTGAAAATAAGCAGCCGAAACATGTAGATTATTCATTAGAAACATATAGATTATTCTCGCAACGTACAAAGCAAAAAGCAACCTTACTGATTGTGGAATGCCGTTTGTATTAGGTCTATTTATAGCGAACGTATAAAGTCCAAAGTGAAAGAATACAAACATATAAATATTTATATATATACGTGTGCAACGGAGCCAGTATGGTTGTCCTTAACAGACAACGGGAAAATATTGGCAAAATAAATCATATTAATAACTATTAAGTCAAAGAATTGACAAAATTTAAAACCTTGAACGATATAAAGCAAGTGACCGACACTTTATATTTTACAAATATTACTACTGTAATAGATTGAACATGTCATGCCCTCGACTCAAGTCATGCCGCGATGGCACTGCAACTCTTCTCCAGCGCAGAAAGTCTTTTTTAATAGCCGAACAAACTAAGTCAAACTCAAATAACCCACACTGAGTAATTTTAACACGTTCGTATTATTTCTGTATTTTGTTTACACATGTCTCTTGAAGATTTATAAACAGGTTTTTTTGTCTAGCCAATCACATCACTTCATGTGACTGCTAATTATAACTAACCAATCATGTGCTTGGTACAAATTTTGTACCAAAGGAAGAGAGATTTGTATCGCGTGCCACCAGAGGTTCTCTTCGCCTCGCGTAAAATAAATACGAGCGGGAATAAGGCGAAAGATACAGAACCTCTGGCAACCAGGGTAACCTGCCCGTGGTTCAAGTAAATAATCAGAAAGCAAAGCCAGATAACTACTCGGACGGCCCGTGGAACGAGTGGATTAGTCACTTCAAGCTGTGTGCTCAGATAAACAACTGGGGCGACACACAGTGTTGCCAACAGCTAGCTGTTTCTCTTCGCGGTAGAGCTCAGCGAATCTACTTGACGCTTCAAGATAACGAGAAGACGTGTTTTGACGACCTAGTGAACGCACTACAGTCTAGAATTCAGCCAGACCAACAAAGGAAAATCCACAAGCTGACCTTCAATGCGAGGAAACGAAAACACGGGGAGAACATTGTAGATTTAGCAACTGATCTGCGACAACTCGCTGCACTGGCGTACCAAAACAAGGATAAGTCGCTTGTCGAGGAGCAACTCGTTGAACAATTTATCCGTGCCCTCGACAGTAAGGAACTACGTATCGGAGTGAGTCAAAGTGACCCAAAATCTCTCGATGAAGCTGTAAAACTAGCGTTACGTCTGGAAAGTATTCATTTGGCTGAAATGAAAAACAACAACACCGCGAAAATCAACATGGCGGGAGACGAGCGAGATACCGCTGGCTTCGACATGGCGGGCGCGAGAGATAAACGAGATACCGCAGGCCTCAACATGACGGGCGCGAAAGAGGAAGATCAATCAACACCACGATGGGCGAAAAAGTACTTTGATCAACAAGCGGAACTGATGGATAAAATGAGTAAATTTCTTGTGAACAAACCAAATACGGCCTCATACCCAAGACGTCAAAGGGGAAATAGCCAGTGCTACCGTTGTGGAAAATATGGTCACTTCGCACGAGAATGTCAATCGCAGAATCAGGGAAACGCCTACAGGGCGGGCGCTTTATAGAGCCTCCGCCCGCGCCGAAACGTGTTGAAACCGCTGAGTTTAGGAATAAAGGCAAAGCTAGTGCAACAGACGACGCCACAATATTTGTGAACTGTCGAGTTAACGGGTACTATGTTAAAGCTTTGGTGGACACTGGCGCAGCCGTGACTATCATGCACGAGGATTTACTGGCGCGAGTACGTAATAAAGGAACAGAAGTGAGACGCGCGACAAAAACAATCGTGGGTGCGAACAATACGCCTTTAAATATAATTGGAATTGCCGAGATAGACATTTCAGTATGCGGGAATTCAGTAACTCATGACGTTTTAATTTGTAACGATTTAGCACAAGCAATGCTAATTGGAGTAGACTTCTTAAAACCTAATAAGTGCGTAATAGATTTCGAGAAGAATACATTACGAATAAAAAGAGAAGAAGAAACATTGTCTTATTCAAACGAGCGTAAAGTATGCCGGGTTACAATTGCCCAGTCTGGCGTTTTGCCAGGAAATTCAATGATAACTATTGCATGTAAAGTGGAGAATGGAACGATTCAGAACAATAAAAGTGGAGTTCTTGAGCCCATGGTGCGATTTGAAGAGCGCTATAAAACTGGAATATTGAAGGTTGCTGCAACGATACAGAATGGACAAATACCTGTGAGATTATTTAACCTCGGTCCGAAAGGAAAAACAATTTACAAAGGAAGCACTGTTGGAGAATTTTGGCCATTGTTAGAAGATAAGAATACAGAAACGGAAAACTGCTACTTTATTGACACGCACATCATCGAGACTGATAAAAAGCTGATGAAAGGTGGAGGGCTTTGCTCGGTGGCAACGCCAAGTCCAGTGACAAAAGAAAATATGGACATGGTTAAAGAACGTTTTCCAATAGTAAACGATTCATTGTTAGAGAGCGAGAAAGAAAGCGTATACAAGGTACTAGCACGTCATACTGTTATAGTCTCGGGGAATAAAACGGACTTGGGAGAGGTGAGAGATGTCCAACACTTTATTAACACTGGTCAACATATCCCAGTTAAAGCTACACCGCGTAGATTTCCGTTTCATAAGCGTGAGGTTGTACGAGAAGAAGTGGAATCGATGCTTGCAAGCGACGTGATTGAACCTTCCACATCCCCTTGGTCGGCTCCGGTGGTGCTGGTGAGAAAAAAAGACGGGAGCGAGCGTTTCTGTATCGACTACCGTAAACTGAATGCGATTACGAAGAAGGATGTTTTCCCTCTACCGAGATGCGACGAAATATTAGAATCGCTTTCGGGGGCAGCCTACTTCACTCATCTGGATCTAGTGCGAGGTTATTGGCAAATCAAAGTCGCGGAGCAAGATCGCGAGAAAAAAGCTTTCTCCACACCAGACGGACATTTTCAGTTTAAAAGAATGCCTTTTGGGTTGACTAATGCACCGGCAACATTTCAACGAGCTATGAATACGATTTTGGCGGGACTGTGCTGGACTGACTGTGTTGTATATTTGGATGACATTATTGTGAGTGGGAGGACACTAGAAGAGCACAATCAGCGTCTTGAGAACGTATTAGCAAGATTAGAAACTGCAGGGTTGAAATTGAACGCAAGAAAATGTGAGTTTATCCAACAGCGGAGTGTTATTTTAGGACATGTCGTTAGTAAGGAAGGGATCTCGACTGATCCGGATAAGGTGAAAGTCCTGGAGAAATGGCCTACTCCAAACAACCTATTGGACTTGCGTTCGTTCCTTGGCTGCACGGGTTACTACAGGCAATACATCCGGGATTACGCCAGAATTGCCGAACCACTTTATAGACTTGAACGAAAGGGAACGGTTTTTAAGTGGAACGACGATTGTCAGAAAGCATTCAACATTCTAAAGACAAAATTGATAACGGCCCCAATACTGTCCTACCCGAGACTCGACATTCCTTTTATTCTTGATACTGATGCCTGTGATACGGGGATTGGAGCTGTGTTGTCGCAACGCCATGGAGAAGACGAAAAGGTTATTGCCTATGCCGCCAGGTCCTTATCACAAGCGGAAAGGAACTATAGTACTACTAGGAAAGAACTATTGGCCCTTGTATGGTCGATGGAACATTTCGCATCCTATTTAATAGGAAAACCATTCCGAGCACGTTCTGATCATAATGCACTGAGGTGGATAAGAAATTTTAAGCAACCTAAAGAACAAGTAGCACGATGGATTGAAAGATTGTCCGTTTTTGACTTTGAAATTGAACATAGACCTGGACGTA